GAATTACTATATGATTGAGTAATTCCACTTCTGGGAATATACCCAAGAGAATTGAAAGCAGGGTCTTGAAGCAACATTTGTACACCCATGATCATAGCAACATTATTCACATTAGCCAAAAGGTGGAAGCGACGAGTGTGTCTGCTGATACACGAATGGATAAACCAAATGTGGAACATAAATACAGTGGAATATTATTAAGCCTTAAGAAGGAATGGAATTCTGACACGTGCTACAACATGGATGAACTTCGAGGACATTATGCTAAGTGATTTCAATTATAGCAGGTATCAAGAACAGTCAAACTCAAAAATAAAAGGTAGAATAGTGGTTGCAAGGGGCTGGGGAGGAGGTAGAAATGAGAAGTTGTTTAAGGGGTGCANAGCTTGAGATGGCAGGCACAAAGCTGGCAATACTTAGTTCAACTGAGGTATAGACCTGCCCCGTCACCCACCCAGTCCACTCCTGGGTATAAATGGCAGACATATGCTGTGGGGTGTGGGAGACACCAAGGAGACCATCGCTAGGGAAATAGAGAAGTGAATTATAGTCGGTGCACATGACGGTTAAGAGCAAAACACTGGATGTATATATGGCAATACGGATAAACCTTAAAATACACAGTGCACATAGGCAACAAAAGTAAAAATAGATAAATTAGACCATATCAAAATGAAAAATTTGTGCACATCAAAGGACACAATCAGCAGAGTGAAAAGACAACCCATGCAATAGGAGAAAATATCTGCAAATCATATGAGGGTACTGAAAAAGTTCATGGAAAGATTTGTTATCTTTTCACTCTATTTTGCCATGAACTTTTGGAATTAATCTCATATATCTGATAAGGATATCATAATATCCCAAAAGCATAAATAACACCTACATCTCAAAAACAAAAAGACAAACAACCTGATTTAAAAACTGGGCTAAGGACTTGAGTGGACATTTCTCCAAAGATGATATATAAATGGCCAACAAGTATAGGAAAAGATGCTCAACATCACTGATCATTAGAGAAACGCAAATCAAAACCACAATGAGGTATATCATGGCACATCCACTAGATGGCTACGATCAAAAAAGTGTTGCAAGGACGTGGAGAAATTGAAACCCTCATGCACCATTGGTGGGAATATCAAACGGTGCAGCTGCTGTGGAAAGCAGTTTGATGGTTCCTTGAAAAATTAGAAATTGAATTACTATATGATTGAGTAATTCCACTTCTGGGAATATACCCAAGAGAATTGAAAGCAG